ATACTTGGTATCTGAGCAGAAGTTAGAGGAGGAAACGTTGTCCGAACTGCAGGGATTGTGGGAATTGCAGGCATTGGTGGCAGTGCAAGGTTAGGCAATGTATATGCTGGCATTGGGGAGAGAGTTAGCATTGGAAATGTGGGGATTTTTGGAAGAGGAGGTAGTTGGGTGGTTGGCAATGGTGGCATTGGCAGTGTATGAATTGTTGGTAAGGTTGGTGTAATTGGTGATGACTGGAGTGTCTAAAATATTGCAAGCTACGACACTTGCATCAATGCTAATCAGCAACAGAGCTAGGACGATCCCGTTGTGAGAGGCCATAGTCGTAATGAGTAGAAGGCTTAAGTTAACTGGGTTTATGCTCCTTTGTCGGTGTGTCAGTGTCTATGATGGAGCCTATAGATACGGTGGGAATGTTGAATGATGTCTCTGGAGTAGAGGGCATTGATAATCTGTGGAAAAATGTAGGTGTCATTTGTTTGTTCATCTGCTCATCTGTTTCTTCTTCCCTAATGGAAAAGGATAATTCTTGTTGTAGGTACCAAGTGGGTTATTTTATTGGAGGGAAGTTAGAAAACTAAAACTGGTGATTAGGTGTTTCTTAAGAACAGTTGTCTCTTATTGTTACTTTATTCTATGCTAACTATTTCTGGCATGTCTCCTGTTTTCTAAGATTACTATCTTGCAGTAAGTACTTTTATCCAAGCTTATGGCCAGACATTAGTGGAACTTCATTTTGGGACAAAATAATTTATTTCTTTACAGTTTATCAGTTTCTTTCCTTGAATCAGCTAAAGTACTGTCTAGCTATTTGTTAAGACTTTTAATTTGCATCATAGTTTTAGTTTTCTCCTACATCTGGTTCGAGAAAACATGAAGAAAGTACAGTTAGTGTTTACCAATTAATTCTATTGTGGACTATGTAAAAGTATACAGTAATGAATACTAGGATTATGGGGAGCTGGCAGAGATAGGATTTTGCCATTTCTGTTAGAATCACTTCTTTTTTTTTTTCATTCATTAAATAGCGAGTTCTATGTTTGATGTGCAATTATCAACCCAGATTTTAATCAAATCAAGCCAGTTAGGAACAAATGAACTTCAACCAAATACTTTGGCGTGGGGTCTAACATATTTCCTTTTATATAAATTCCCAATTATTGATTGTTCTTTTTTTGTTCTTTGTTTTTTTCAGGAAGTTATGTTGTTGTACCACTTTCTATATTTAGAGATTCTTTTTTATATATTCAAACCAGATAATTGCTAATGTTTTTACGTAAATGTTTTTAAACCCATACTCATCTGAATATTAAGCATGGATTGAATTCAAATCCATAGAAATTAGGTTCAGGTCTTTTGAGTTTGGATACCGTGATATATGTTAGTCGTTCATTGGCCAGATGAACAGGAACAGAGAGAGAAATCCATTTACATATGCTCTAGTACGACTTACTAACTTGGTTCTTAATTTCCTGCCTGAAGAAAATTTCTTGAAGACAGACGTTGTGGATCACAAAACTTTAAAAGTTCTAGGGGTTTAAGTGATATTGCACATTTTATCTTGAAAATACACTTTTAACAGAAATAGAGGCATGAGAATAACTGGGGCCAAAGTTTCTAGTAGCTGTTCTATATTAGTAGCATTGTTGAAGATTCTCGTTGCCCTAGGAGATTATACGATGAGGATTTAAAATCTTCAAGATCATGAGAACCTTCAAAAAACTTAGTGAAGAATTTTCATCAGATTGGGAGGACACATTTTTTTATTTACATCTTCTACGTCACCATAATTGAAAACCTATTTTCTAGCCATCGCACAAGGAAAGCCTCGAAAGAGTGCCATAGAAAATTTGATATTTCCTTTTTACTCGTAGCAGGTCATTTTCTGTAGTTTTTCCATGCAATAAAACCTTGACCAATCGCAATCATGTACACGACGTGCAGCTTCTCATCCATTTTCGCTCCATATCACCTGAAATATCTTGGTGAAACTCAATATCTGGGGGAGA